GCCTTTTTTCAAACGCAGTTAGTTGCAGGCTTAGGTATTAAATTTAGAATAGCCTTGCAAAATTGTGCAAGCCGGGGGCTACTTTTTTCCAAGCAAGTTACAATGCAAGTTTGAATCATTTTCAAGGTCAACACAAATTTGGTTCCCGAACTTGTTAATTTTCATGGCTTTTACAAACCTGATGTTAAAAGTATCACCTGACCAAAGTATGGTACTCTGTTTACTTCATGTTTATAATGTCTTGTATGTCTAACGTGTTTTATGATATTGTCTTGATGAATGCCTAAAAGGAATGTGTCCTGTAATAAATGGATTTAGTAACATTATATTGTCTGTATTTATCACAGAACTAAATCAAGCATTTCAGTGCAGTTGCACATGAAACCAGAGATGATTTATTTAATTTTTGAGAATAAGCAACCAAAGAAATCCACATCCTTTTTAAAAAAAAAAAAGTTTATTAGCAGGTGATGAATTATAATCACTAACGTGACTAGCTTTGAGAAGTGTTTGAAGTCTTAGATTAGTTTTTAAAAGATTGCATTCTCTGGTACACTTTTCCACAAAGATGTAAGGAACAAGAAATAAGCTGGGAATAAAAACAGTAATTAAAAATAGATGCAGGGGATCTGTTGACTGCTGAGGTTTTGAGTGATAAAATCATAGTTGTTACCATTTCCCAGAGTCAAGTAAAACTAATATATAGCATTCTTTAAACAAATTCCAGACCCTGATACAAGATAGAATGATTTATTGACCCAGATAAGAACAGGGAGTAAAATGTTCAGAAAGGGAGCAAAGTTGCATGAATTATTATAAATCTACAGCTAGTATGAGACCTTTTCCTTTCCACATAACTGTTTTTTGGACATCTCTTGTCTTTTCCTCCAATAAGAAGCCCTACCAGGTGGGGCAACCCTTTCCAAACATCTTTAGTGCCTAACCTAGATGTTTATGAAACCCAAACGTGGCAATTTAATGACTTTTTTTCTGGAACAGTCAATGCCACTTCTTAACTGCTGAAGCACTCAACTCAATAGAAAGAAAGGATTCATAGAAGGCAATTAGATATTGGATCAGTGATGGGTTGGTTGCCTATGCTCCTTCTGCAATTATCCTGTCCAGAGTTACTCCTTTGTAGTTTGTACCCACCTGAAAGGTGGTCTTTCGGTAGAGAGAAGATTGAGTTGACCTGGTTTGGTTGCCATGTTTAAATCGGCGAGATAGTACAGTAGTGTGTTTAACTCAGCATATAACTCAGCCCTCTGGCATGGAGCAGTTTCAAAGTTTTGTGTATTCATACATGTACCCTCAGGGTAGCATCTTTCATCCTAGTGTATCACATGCTATTATTAATAGTTACCACAAAATTGTGTAAATCTTATTATCTAAAATAGTTATACAGAAGGGTGGGGGGAGAGAATCCAAAATGGACTACTTCTGGTTACATGTTTCCTGTCCTTTCTTCTTCCTCATATGCACCTCTATCCTGAATGTCTTGCTTCATCTTCAGTCTGTGTCTTGCTTCATCTTTATATCTTTGTGGTGGCTGCTTCATATAACTGGAATTTCCTTCCAGTAATTATTCACCAAGGACCAATTCCTCAAAGGTTTTTGGGTGCTAACTCCTTTTTCAATGGGACTGTGATGCCTAAATACCTTTGTGGAGCAGGGTCTAAATAGCTTCCTTCTTTTTGTTTACATCCCCCCTTAATGCATTTACCTTTTGAAGCCTTTTAGGGATAATGCTACAAATATAAAAAATCATTTGAAAATCACACTACTTAAGTCTCAGTCTTCAGTTTTTGCCTTATATGTATAGACTGCAATATTTTTCATTTAGATTGTGAATTTAGAGACTGTGTCATCAGTACTATCTGTGCTGCTATAATGTCCCAATCCATGGCTTCTGATATCACTCCCACTTACAGCATTAGCGCTGAATGTTGGTAATAGGGCCTGTTATTTTGCTTATGAATTATATCTGGATTTGATCCTGCATCCAAGTATAGAAGACCTTTAATGTTCCTTCACTGACATTTCCTTCTTTTCTGTCCTTATAAACTGGTTTACTGAGCAGTTTCTATCCTCTTGGGCAATTGCCTTGAAATATTTTTGCATGAAAGAAGGCTTAATCCTCGTGGAACATCATGTGTATGACACATCCATCAGGAGTTGTCCATGTGATACTATTTGTGAGATTCTTTGGATTGCTACAGTATGACAGTAAAAATTATACCAGTTACAGGGAAACAAGCTTCTCAGTCACCATTCAGTGTCTTTCATCTTCCTGAAGTGCTGCCATTTGACTATTGAACCAACACTCCAAATCAGGGGTGGGTAATTATTTTGGCTGGAGAGCCACTTAATGAGTTTTGGTCACCTCTCAAAGATCATGTTTCTCTCTCTCTTACCCTGATCCCCACGCCACCTGATCACACTGCCTAGAATTGCAGCACACCCTGATTCCCCACCCTTCCCAGAGCTGCAGCACGCCCTGTTCCCTACCCTGCCTGGAGCTGCAGCATGTCCTGATCCCCACCCCACCCAGAGCTGTAGGATGCACCAATCCCACAC